TATGGGTGGCAAAAACTGCCAAGGAAAGCCATGAGAAGATGGACACACAGACCACCAAGACAACAAAAGTGGAAGAAATAAAAGCTGAGCTGGCCAATATTGGAAAGGTCCCATCTTAACTCCTGGAAATGAAGAAAACTATTCTGCAATTTCATAGCACAATGACAGAATCGACCAGGCAGAGGAAAACATCTCAGAGCTTGAGGATCTAACTACTGAACTAACTCAGTCCAACAAAAACAAGGAGAGAGCCTCAAGAAGCATAAGCAAAGCCTACTAGAGGTTTGGGGTTATATAAAAAGACCAAATTTATGGTTGACTGGCATCTCTGAGAGAGAAGGAAAAACTGAGAACACCATGAAACAAGTCTTCCCAGAGGTCATCCAAGAAAATTTCTCCTATCTCATTAGAGAGGCAACCATGCAGACACAAGAGATCCGGTGATACATAAGAAGACTATCCCCTAGACTCATAATATTCCATCTCCACAAGGTAAGCATGAAAAAAAAAAAACCAAACCCCCCAAAACCATAAAGGTAACTAGTGAGAAGGTACAGACCACCTACTGAGGAACACTCATCAGAATTGCAGCAGACTTCTCAGCAGAAGTCCTACAAGCCAGAAGGGACAGGGGTACCATCTTTAACATTTATTCTTAAAGAAAAGCAATTTGAGCCAAGAATTTCCACCCCACTGAGCTAAGTTTCATCAATAAAAGAGAATTAAAATCCTTTCCAAACTTCCAACCCCTAAGAGAATATGCCACCTTCAGACCAGCCCTTCAGGAGTTGCTTAACAGAGTTCTAAGCATAGAAACAAAAGAACAATTCCACCCATTGCTAAAGCACAGGCAAGCACAGAGTTAACAGACTATACAGATCAACCAAGAACCTAAAAGTGAAGCAAACTTTTAGTAGTAATATGTCAGGAATAAAACCCAACATATCAATAATTAACTTAAACGTGAATGGACTGAATGTACCAATCAAAACGTATAGAGTGGTAAACTGGATAAAGAAACATGATCCAACTTTGTGCTGCCTTCAGAAACCCATTTCACTACAAATGACATCCAGAGACTTAAGGTAGAGGGTTAGAGAAAGATCTTCCATGCAAATGAAAAACAAAAAAGGGTAAGAGTAGCTATCCTAATAAAAGACAGAACAGACTTTAACCAATAAAAGTGAAAAAGAACACCGAAGGAAACTACATAGTGATAAAAGGCTCGACCCAACAGCAAGAAATATCCATCTTGAATAAATAGACAAAAAACATAGGAGTACCCAGATTTATAAAACAATTACTAATTAAACTAAGAGAGGACATGCATAGCCATACAATTATAGTCAGAGACTTTCATATCCCACTAAAAGCCTTAGACAGACCATTGAAGTAAAAACTACCAATGATATCTGAATCTTAACTCAACACTCAACCAATTATACCTAATTGGCATCTACAGAACACTTCACTCAAACCACAGAATACACATTCTTCTCATCAGCACATGGAATATACGCCAAGATTGACCACATTCTCAGGCATAAATCAAGCATTAGCAAATTTCAAAAAGTTGAAATCATATCAAGTATCTTAGACTATAGTGGAATAAAAATAAGTATACTACCAACAGGAACACCCTAAACATACAAATAAATGAAAATTAAACATGCTTCTAAATGATTTTGGGTTAAGACGGAAATCAAGGCAGAAATAAAAAGATTCCAGGAAATAAATTTAAAAACAGACACACAGCATACCAAAATCTTTGGGATATCAAGAAAGTGGTGCTGAGAGGGAAGTTTACAACACTGCATGCACATATCAAGAAAATAGAGGGATCTCAAGTAAACAGCCTAACGTTACACCTAAAGGAGCTGGAAGGGTCAAGGGCAATCCAATCCTGGACTTAGCAGAAAAACTAAAATTATTAAAATAAAGTCACAGCTGAAGGATTATTCAGTCAAAAAAAACCACAGAGAGGATCAAAGAGACAAAGAGCTAGTTATTTGAAAGAATAAGTAAGATTAACAGACCCATGGCCAGAATGACCAAAAAAAAAAGAGAGAGAGAGAGAGAGAAAGTCTGAATAAACACAATTAGAAACAAAAAAGGCATTGTCGCAACAGATCCTGAAGAAATTCAAAAGATCACCAGAGACTACTATGAACATCTGTATGCAAATACACTACAAAATCTAGAGAAAATATAGGAATTCCTGGCATCATATAACCTCCCAAGATTGAGGCAGGAAGAAATGGAAACCCTGAACAGACCAATAACAATACAAGAAATTGACTCAGTTATAAAAAACCTTCCCACCACAAAAAAGCTTTGGGCCTGTTGAATTCTACAAGACATACAAGGAAGAGCTGATACTAATTCTATTGAAAGTATTCCAGGCAATTGAGAAGAAAGAAATTCTCCCTAGCTCATCCTATAAAAACCAATATCATCCTAATACCCCAAAATGGCAAAGACCCAACAAGGAATGAAAACTACAGGCCAATTTCCCTAATGAACCCAGATACAAAAAAAAAAATATCAACAAGATTCTGTCAAATTGTCTCCAGCAACACATTTCAAGGATCAACCATCATGACCAGGTGGGCTTTATTCCTGGGATGAATAGCTGGTTTCACATACATAAATCAATAAACGTAATCTATTACATAAAAGGTGTTAAACAAAGAACCACATGTTATTTCATTAGTGTCCCTTCTTGATAAAAACCCTTGAACATCTGGGCATGGAAAGAACATTCCTCAAAATAATAAGAGCCAGCTATGACAAACCTGCAGCCGCATTATAGTTAATGGGCAGAAACTGGAAGCATTCCCTCTAAGAACTGAAACTAGATAAGGATGCCCACTCTCATTCCTCCTATTCAACTTAGGAAGTCCTAGCCAGAGTAATCAGGCAGTAGAAAAAAATCAGGGGCATCCAAATAGGAAAAGAGTTAAGTTATCCCTCTTTGCAGATGATATGACTCTATACCTGGAAAACCAGAGTCTGTTAAAAGCTCCTTGCACTGATAAACAACTTTAGTAAAGTTTCAGGATACAAAAATCAATGTGCAAAAACAGTTGCATTTCTATACATATCAACAAGAATCAGGCTGACAACCAAATAAAAAACACAATCTCATTCACAATAGCCACAAGAAAAACAAAAAAACTTGGTATCCACCTAACCAAAGAAGTGAAAGAAAAACCTCTACAATGAGAACTACAAAACACTGCTCAAAGAAATCAAGAATGATACAAATGGAAAAACATTCCATGCTCATGGATTGGAAGAATCAATATCAATAAGATCATCAAGATGTCCATTTTACCCAAGGCAATCTACAGATTTAACACAATTCCTATCAAATTGCCAGCATCATTTTTCACAAACCTAGAAACGACAATACCAAAATTCATATGGAAGTAAAAAAGAGCCCAAATAGCTAAAACAATCCTCAACAAAAGAACAAAGCTGGAGGCATAACACTTCCAGACTTCAAACATTACTACAAGGCTACAGTAACCAAGACAGCATGGTATCAGTACTAAAATAGACAAAGACCAATGGAACAAGACAGAGAATCTGGAAATAAACCTTCAACCAACTCATCTTCGACATGCTGAAGAAAATAAATTTTAAGGAAAAGAAACCGTATTTAGCAAATGGTGCTGGAAAAACTGGTTAACCACATGCATAAAAATGAAGCAGAACCCCTACCTCATCACCATATACAAAAATTAACTCAAAATTAATCAAGGACTTAAATTTAAAACTTCAAACTATAAAAATCTTAGAAGAAAACTTAGGGAACACTCTCTTGAACATCGCAGTAGACAATTAAAGGCCAAGACATCAAAAACAGATACAGCAAAAGCTAAGATGGACAGGTGGGACCTTATCAAACTAAAAAGTTTTTGCACAGCAAAAGGAACCATCAAGAGAATAAAGAGAAAACCCATGGAATGGAAAAAAAAAATATTTGAAGCTATGCATTTGAATAAGGCCTAAACATTCAGGAACTCAAACTGACAGGAAAAAAAACAACCCCATTAACAAGTGGGCAAAGAACATAAACAGACACTTCTCACAGGAAGACATATAACCAGCCAACAAACATATGAAAAAAAGCTCAGCCTCACAAATCATCAGAGAAATGCAAATCAAAACTACAGTGAGATACCACCTACCACTAGTAAGGATGGCTATCATTAAAAAGCCAAAAAAACAACAGGCGTTGGCGAGGTTGCAGAGAGAAGGGAACACTTCTATACTGTTGGTGGGAATGCAAGCTAGTTCAACCTTTCTTTGTGTGAAGCAGTGTGGAATTTTCTCAAAGAACTAAAAATTGAGCTGTCATACAAACTAGCAATCCCACTTCTGGGAATATACCCAAAGGAACATAAATCACTCTACCAAAAAGATACCTGCACACATATATTCATTGCAGCACTATTCACAATAATAAAAACATGGAACCAACCCAAAGGCCCATTAAAAGTGGACTGGATAAAGAAAATGTGGTACATATACATGATAGAATATTATGCAGCCATAAAGAACAAAATCATGTCCTTTGAAGCAACATGGATGCAGTTGGAAATCATCACTCAAAGTAAACTATCAGAGAAAGAAAAAAATGAATATTTTACTCTCTCACTTATAAGTGGGCCCTGATCACAGGTCATGTGAGTGTAAAGATGGGAACAACAGATGCTGGACATTGCTAAAGGAAGGAGGAAAGAAGAAGGGATAAGGAGCACACAACCACACACTGGGTACCAGGTCCATTACTAGGGGTGAGAGGGCTTCCTAAAGCCCAAACTTCATCAGTGTGCAATTTACTTATGCAGTAGATCCTCACATGTACCTTACAACTCAAAAACTAACTAACTAAATAAATACATAAACAAATGTTCCTACTTCTGTTATTTATACTCAGGTTCAATTTTTTTTCCCTTTTCACAGGCTATAAGCACAAAGCTCCAACATACCTCTTGAATGGCTGTCATGACAACATGTTGAACAGATTCCTCCATCATCATTATGGCTTGGATGTACTCTGAAAATAAGAACAACCTGGAATGTCACTGTTCAAGTTAAAGATGGTCAAAGGAGTCAAGGTTAACACTTCAAAAATACTTATAAGTAGTTTCTATGTTTGACTTTTCCTCAAACACGGTTAAATATACTGCCATAGGTAAAGTCTGAAAATCACACCATCTTTCCTTAAGATGATGCTTTTCCCTTCCACCATTCCTTCTAAAGTTGAGGCTACAACTGCAAACAATGTGAATGCAGTATCAGCATGAGTGTGTGTCAACATAAAACAATGAAATGGTAAAGCATAAAGCCAGGATGGAAAGACTCCATATTACTTTTTTACTAAAACTTAAAAATTATCTTTCACATTATTCTTTGCTACATGGTTAAAAAAAAAACTTTGAAGTCTGTGCTTTATTCTCATGTGACATTGAAGCACTGAACTATATATAATTCCTAACTTAATAAAAACGTGATGAAGCTGAAAGCCACTTAGGACAAAAACTGCAATGGATTATAATAGAAATTGATACCATAGCTAAAGAAATGTTGCATAATACTGGGCTTTAAAACATTGACTCACATATCTAAGTCAAAGCAGCAACTTCATCATCCTCATTCTTACCACTGCAGAAAAAGAAAAAGATCTCTTTGCTATTAGTAGTGACAAAGTTGAAAATAATTTCTTGAATTCTAAAAAAGCCTGGAATTCGTTTTCATTATTTCCAAATTCAACAACAAATGGATAACAAAAAGTAGCATTAAGCATTAAAAAAAAAAAAAATCAACAGGATAGGTGAATTCCAACAAATATGGTAAATATGCTTCAAGAAAAAACATGTAAAAGGGTGAATTAGGAAATTTTAGCCCCAACCTGCCTCTCCAATTCCTTATATCCAAATAACATATATCAAAAATTTTTCTCAGCCCTTGAAGGGGTCTTACTGTGAAAATGTCAAAGCAATCTTTTGACAAAGAAATTCATGTATTTGAAGTGACATACTATCCTCTGTCCGACAGGAAATTTGTTTACAAAAAAAAAAAAAGAAGGTATTTTAACAACACTATTAAATTCTGACAGTATGGCATTCTGGTGGTTAATGCCAAAGGTTTAAATTTACCAAAAACATGATTTTAAGGAAGTACTGTCCTAAGGATACTTGTACCCAATCAAGTGTTTGGTTACACATAACAAATACATACAATATAGACCAATGATAGGAATATATGGTAACTCAATCACTATGGTCAAAAAAGAGTTATTTTCACCTGATCTCAATTTTTTGTTTTTATTTCTTTGTGAGGATCATACCATGAGTGCTGAAGTACAGCAAGGGAACTGTTAGGTGCCCTGTTCAAAGGTATCAAACACAGAATACAAAGGCTATGGAGAAACTAGCGCAGCTGGGATGACTAAGCAGCCCTCAAAATAAGACTAAACATGGAAAAGAAGCAGCAGCAGCAGCACTGATAATGGGGAAGGAAAGCATAATGGCAGCCTACTGAAAGTGAAGGGAGTAACAGTGAACTCAGGAGGTGAAGGGTTAGTAGGTGTGAGAGGGGAAGCGTTAGTTAAGAAGCGGTGTTGCCACGTCAAGGCCCTTCCCCGCGAACACCGTAAAATGCTAAATGGTAAAATGAGGATGAAAACTACATTAATGTACATTTTTAAATAAAAAAATAATTTACAAGTCTTTAAAGTCCAAAATATAACTGTATGCTACTACTGGGTGCACATCTATGAAGCAATGCTGGAACATGAGGTGTGTTATGTAAGGGAGTTTTATCCTGAAACTTTAGCTATTCAAAATTCATAGCAGAATTCGGCACAAAAAATATTAGGTTTAATTGTGGAAGAAACATGGATTTTTGTCTTTGCCTAGTATCTTACAAGTAGGAAATCTTGGAAAGTCACATAATACTTCTGAGTATGAGCTTCTCAACCTGTAAATGGCATGTTTTGTTCTGTTAGTACCTAGGAGAGTACCAGACAGAAGGGAGACACTAAATACATATTATTAGTGTGTCTTCTACTACTAATCTTGTTTTTTTCCTGCAAATTTACCATCATTTTATTTGCCCCAATTTGAGATGCCAGACAGCTAAGACAAATGTACACTGAGTCAATGCTCTCGGCAGCTGCTCCTTATTCTTGTAATCAGGAAACATCTACACATAAAGCCCTTTTATCTGTACAGTGCTTTAGAAATTACAAAGCAAATACACACAAACAATTTAATTCCCTCCTCATTTTACAGACAAGAAAACAGGCTAAGTATCGTATCCCAAGTTAGTCACATAGTAAACAGCACAGCCACTTTAGTAAGCCTTCCAGTGTGTATCATAAATATGCTGTTACGAACTAATACTCAGCAATTCAGAAACTCACTTGACTCTTAGCAATCTACAGTGTTCCTGGGAACAGAGAATGTCCTGAATCTGGACAAGTGAGGTGTTAAAATTCTGTTCAATAAGTTTTCATCATTTATACAGTTTCATGGGGGGGGCAGAATCTAGGTGTCTATACAGAATACTTAGTCTGGATGAGAACCTCAATAAATATTATGACTGACCATCTTTTTTTTCACAGGAATATGGATATAGATAACATCTTTGTCTTTTCCTAGTCCTATTCTGTAATAAATAAAATTATCCATCTCTTAACAGCCATACATTTCCAAGAACCCCTACACATTAAGTACAATCTCAGAAGTTGATGAAGTTTGTAAAAAAATACATAAAAATTAATCTGATATCAATGAACTACGATTAAATAATTTCTCATCCACCTTAAAAAGAAAGCATTTACTTAAGCTTTAATGTCTCTTAAATCTTCTTATTTATACCTATCTTCTAATCGTTGACAGAAAACTTGTTAGACATTTCAGTAACATGTAACACCACAAATGTAGAAAATTCTGTTATCTTAATTCTTGAGCTAAATTGAATAAGCAAACCAAAACGTACTTTAAGAACATGGCATGATAAAATATAAAAGGAATGGGGCTAGAGAGAAAGAAATACATCCTGAATCAGAGATCAATAAAACTAGCCATAGTCTCAAGAAAACAGTGTTGACTATTATTAAACATATCACTAGAACACCAAAATAGTACAGATAAGAAGTTAATAAAAATCTGTTTTCCTTACCAGGCATAGTGAGAGGAAACAAGAAAATCTTTAGGCTTAAAATAAACAAACAAACAAAAAGCCAGGTATGGTAGCTCACGTCTGTAATCCCAGCACTTTGGGAGGCAGAGGTGAGAGGATTACCTGAGCTCAGGGGTTCGAGACCAGCCTGAGCAACATGGCAAGACCTCCTCTCTACAGTAAATCAAAAAATCAGCCGGGCATGGTGGCACACGCCTATAGTTCCAGCTACTTGGAAGACTGGGGCAGAAGGATCACCTGAGCTCAGGAGGTCAAGGCTGCGGTGGCCATAAGCATGTCCGGCAACAGAGTGAGACTCCAACTCAAACAAACAAACAAACAAAAAATCCAGGCCAAGCACAGTGGTTCATACCTGTAATCTGAGCACTTTGGGAAGCCAGGGCAGGAGGATCACTTGAACCCAAGAGTTTGAAACCAGCCTGGACAACATAGTGAGATCTAGTCTTTACAGAAAATTTAAAAAATTAGCCAGGGATGGTGGTACACACACATAGTCCCAGCTACTCGAGAGGCTGAGATGGGAGGATCACTTCAGCCCGGAGTCTGAGGCTGTAGTGAGCCATGATTTCACTCCAGCCTGGGTAACAGAGACCCCTAACTCAAAAAACAAAAACAACCCTCCCTCCCATCTTCTTCAATGTAAATCACAGTACATCTTGTCAGCATCTAGAACAGCCTATCTCTACCTATTCTCCTGCCCAATTTCTCTTTATCCCTTCTTCACATGCTAAATTATAGTTTTGTGGATTTTTTTTAATCTTTCAAAGATAACTAAGGCTTATTATTATTTTTTTTTAGTCAGAGTCTGACTCTGTCACCCAGGCTGGAGTGCTGCATCACGCTCATGGCCACCTCGACCTGCTAGGCTCAGGTGATCCTTCTGCCTCAGCCTTCCAAGTAGCTGGAATCACAGATACACACCACCACATCTGGCTAATTTTTTTTTACTTACTGTAGAGATAAGGTCTCGCCAAGTTGCAAGACTGGTCTTGAACCCCTGGGCGCAGGCAATCCTTTTGCCACCGCCTTCCAAAGTGCTGGGATTACAGGTGTGAACCACACTGTGCCCAGTTAGATCTTTCTTACGTTCAGTTTCTGCTATTTAGAATCTCAACCAATCATCCTCCATATCCTTGCTTAAATAACTGCCCTGATCCCAAGTCCATACTGTCCCCATTACACTGTACCTGCAAAGCACTCACCATTACTCGATTGTATAGGTATTTGTGGCACTATTTAATGCCCCTCTATTTGAATTATGTGAGGGCAGGGACTGTGTCTGTTTTGTTAACACTGTGTTCCTAGTCCCTAGTGTAATGTAGTAGTTAAATAAATATTTGTCAAACAAATCAACTATTCTTCTATAAAAATTAATTTAAGGTAAAAAGATAAATTTGAAGAGTATTTTTAAGAAAATAAGTGCTTTCTATGTAAATGAGTAGCTGTCAATAGAAGAAACAAAACTGCTATTTAAGACTAGATAAGCACTTTGGAAGAATTAAAAAAAGATTTTAATTACATTATTATCTATATATCAAACCCGGTCTTCAAGTAACTTCACAAAGTGCAAATCTGTCGACTTGGATTTCCTGTACACATAAAAGTACTACATTTATCTAAGCAAATATATAAACAGCCAGGCTCAGTGGCTCAGCCTGTAATCCCGTGCCTCTGGGAGGCTGAGGTGAGTGGATTGCCTGAGCCCGCAGGTTCGAGACCCACCTGGGCAACTTGGCGAGACCTCATCTCTACAATAAATAAAAAAATTAGCTGGGTGTGGTAGCACGCGCCTGTAGTTCCAACTACTTGGAAGGCTGAGGCGGAAGGATCGCCGGAGCCCAGCAGGTCGAGGCTGCGGTGGCCGGGAGCGGCCACTGCACTCCAGTCTGGGCGACAGAGTGAGACTCCAACTCAAAAAAAAGAAAAAAAACAAAATCTATAAACTAAAATTTAACTCACTGAGAATAACCTCTGTATAAATTAGTGGCTTTACTAATTTACATTCTATATAATCATAGAATAAAACAGAATCCAGTGGATAAATACTACCATGTGCCAGACACTGTACTGTTTCACATATATTATCTCATTTAGTCTCCACAATAACCTTATGGGGTAGGTACTGTACTAAATATCTATTTTACAAAAAACTAAAATACAGACATGAAGTGTTTTGCCCAATGTCCCTCCCATAGTGTGTGAGAGATGGAATCATAGTACAATTTCCCAGGTTGATGGGCAGTGTGGCTGCCTACGCTCTTTATCTCAGATTTCAATATAATGACAATGATATAGATCATTACAGTTCAGGGAACTTAAAATTTGATATTTTAGACTGCAATACAAAGAACTAAAAGAAACTTTAAAAATGACAGTTCAGATATACATGAATAGCAAGAAATTTTCTAGTATTCAGATATACACACAGGCAAATCATTAATTTATTTTAAAGGTGCTAATCTTTGTGAAACTTAATCCCAAGGTTTCTAAGTCTTTCTTACCAGAGTGTATTAACATAAAATATCCTGTGAAATTTCTAAAAGTTTTAAAATTATTTATAAATAAGTGAAATGAAATTATCTTGATATATGTATTATTCTTCCTTTGAAAGACAGCCCAGACAGTATCTAAAATTGAATTCAGGAAGTAATTTCTTGAAAAAGACTATATACCAGATCTAGGGACAGAAAATCCAACCCCAAATCTACTTTTTATTATTTAGAGACTGCATATAATGATACTCTTCCCTCTCTTCTTCCCCACAGTAAAGACAAACTTGTTAATGTTTCCGGCCATTGCCAGACCATTGCTGCCATTGCATTGCTAAGCTATGGTGTGGTCACGTGCTCCTTGAGCTATGGCCAGGTTATGCTTCCTGATTTTGTCCCCTTCCCCTATCTTGGGGAGGTGAATCTTCTTTTTCTCTCTCTCTCTAGTTTACTTGTAAATAAACCATGTTTTCCTATCAAATAAAATAAAATAAAATAAAATAAAATAAATGTTTCCAAATATAGGAAGTGCCCAACATATTAATGAGTTCCATTCTGAAAGCGTGTAAGTCCAATTTGTTTTAAGTCCAACCAAATTGGCCTAGGTACCCAACTAACACAATTGTCTATATACTACTGTATGTTTTTTAACAGGCTATGCTGACACCTAGTGGAGAGAAATAATACATTAAAAAACACAGGTGTGCTTCATTAAAGTTCATAACTTGAAGGTTCATATGTAGGGCACTTACCGTACAATATGCTCTTTTAAAAAACGTCTAAGACACCTTTCTATTATACATGTACACTGGGAAGGCAGATGTGAATACCTATAAAATTGCTGTATGTCTCTACTCACTTTTTCCAAACTAAGAGGTGAACCTGTCCAATTAACAGTAAATTTCATCACAGTGCTTCAAGATGCATAAAAAATAAGTTACTTAAAGAATTATGTGGTCTTACAGAAAGGAAAAAATATCACCACAAATATATTTTAACTTACAAAACTCACTTAAGCTTAAAAACAAATTATTACCAAAACTGAGAAAATGGCATTCCTTGAGGGCGGCCTAAAAGATGTTAATGTTTGTACATATTACTTTTCTTAATTTTTTAAATGCATACACTAACTTCAAACAAATTACCTTGCTTCTGCTCACAGTTCACAGCACAGCCTAAAATGAGCTGAAGCATCCTTCCAAGCTCCGCAGCATCAGAGTGCTCCCCAATGAGGCTCACATCAGGAAGGGTGAAGTCATTAATCTGCTGTCCTAAAATCTGAACAAAGATTAAAAGATTACAGTTGTACTTACATTAATATGACATAAAATATTTGATTGAGATTAGTGTTATCACCAGAAACTCACTGCCAAGGACAGAACAATTATGTCAATCTCACCACCAGTTTCTATTTTTACCTCCCATACCTAAATTATAACTAGCTTGAATGACAGCAACTTAGTCCCTAATCTGGTATACAGTAAGTACACTGAGCAAAAAAACTGAATACTACCGATTTCTTTCACCACATCAAGAAGGACTGGATGTAGACTCTGTGAAGAAGTAGAACTAGAAAGGTTCTGAACCAGGGAGCACCAGAAAGAGCTGAGATTAAATATAAATTCATGTCTTCAACAGTCAGATTGCCCCTAGCCACCTTTACATGACTCTCAAATCACTGGCAGCAAGAACCCTATATCAGGAAGGAGCATAGAAGACTCCTTTATGGGAAAACTGACTGGCCCTAAATGAAATGACTTATATGCAGATATACGGGTGGGTAACCCAACAGTGAAATTTACCACTAAAAAAGCACTCCTACTTGGATCCAATTAGCTTTTTTTTTTTTTAAGCAGGATTTATTGAGAGGACAGAAAAGTTTCCAGAGTGGGAGGGGACCCAAGGGGGTTGCCCCCAATCAGCTTTTTTCAGTGCTTTATTTTTAACCCTCTGCACTCAGAGACAGCTTGCAGATCACCTACCAGCAACTTTACCGTGTTTTTTTTGTTGTTGTTGCAGATCACCTACCAGCAACTCTACCATGTTTTTTTTTAACGAAAGAGTGAAAAACAAATCACTTCATATTCAATAGTATAACATTGGAACCAATTATTTTATTGTAATGATATTTGGCTTATAATGGAATTTGGGGCATTGAGGAACTTATTTACGACAAAAAAAATCAAAATTTTATATCTTCCATTTTTCTAAAGCGTAGTAACATGTAAAACAGCCACTGACATGCATTGCAGGTTCTTTGATACATGTTGTGTGACACTAATTTGTTTAATGTCTTCTACCTGGCGTTTTTTTACTAGAGCAGGCAATGCAGTCTCAATTTCTTCTTCCCACATTAAGATAATTGTGATAAAAGTTAAAAATTCCTGTTGGTCAGCATCAGGCCACTTATAGCAAACTGATTTGTGAGATAGCTGCTTTTTTCTTATTTTTTATCCACATAATAATCATTTCTTTTATTACACTATCCACTAATTTACTTGTAAAATACAGAGTAAAATAGTTCATCGGTTCTCTTATCTTACTTGCTATTTTTGATTCAGTGGTTTTAGAATGCACAACAAACTTTATTCTCGCCGGAAGATCAACCATCTTTTTCTATAACATCTTCACTTGATGGTACTTTGTCTTCTACTTCTTCGAAACTACTAACACTTTCATCATTATCACTTTCTATTACATTTGTTTTCTTCTTGGTGGGATGACATCACTATCACTACTATCGTTTTCTTCCACATCAATATTTATTTTTTCTAACTTATCTGCATAAAAGTCTAAATCTAACTCATTTTCGCTGCTGCTTATAACTCACTTTTGTCTTTTCATTTTGCCATTGTTCTGTAAAACTAACTAAAAGGACATAAAATGTGTAATTGTAATTACGAAATGAAATTTATTAAAAGAATATTACTTTTCCAATTTTACTTTTCCAACTTAGTGCAGATACATATATTCAATCTGTGTCTCTCAATACTTCAATGTGATCTGCCTTCAACTTTGAAATCTTTCTTTTAAGGAACTTGTTTATCTATCTTTTCAAGATATGCCAAATGATACAAAGGGTAGAACCACAGCTGCCTTTCTTATGCAATTGTTCTTTATTCCATTACAAAGAAGTGTTGGCATCACTGTGAAAGCAATCAACACATTCTCTTTCTATGTAATGCCAGCTGACATTTTTTTTTTTTTTTTTGAGTTGGAGTCTCACTCTGTTGCCCAGACTGGAGTGCAGTGGCCGCTCCCGGCCAGCGCAGCCTCGACCTGCTGGGTTCCGGCGATCCTTCCGCCTCAGCCTTCCAGGTAGCCGGAATTACAGGCATGCGCTACCACGCCCGGCTGATTTTTTGATTTATTGTAGAGATGAGGTCTCACTGCCCAGGTGGGTCTCGAACCCACGGGCTCAGGCAATCCACTCACCTCAGCCTCCCAAAGGCGCGGGATTACAGGCTGGGCCACCGAGCCCGGCTCCCAGCTGACATTTTTTAACGTATATCTCAGTATATATTCCATTTCCATTTGCTTTTTTGTGCAATTTGAATGGAAAACTTCAAGGAATCATACATTTAAAAAAATCTTTGCTTGCATAAGTTTGTCCTGTATAATCACCAGCAATCTCTTTATGTCTCCTGAGAGGGCATATGAGTGGTTTGCTAGATTTATGACGTCCCCTCAGAGGTGATATCAAAGTACAAAGGGTTAAATATCAACAAACAACCAGGAATCATTAAGACATTTGTAAAAAGTCTCCAGCATTAAAAACAGACAAAAACAAAGAAACTTAGAAGAAACCAAACAATGCAGTGAAAGAAAATAAATTTGTATATATCCTATAACTAGATGTGTACACAAGTGGTAAAACTATCAAGAAAAACAAGAAGCTGGGCACAGTGGCTCACACCTGTATTCCAGCACTCTTAGAGGCCAAGAAAAATGAGAAATGAGTGCGGCCAAAGCAAGATAATTGCTTGAGGCCAGGTGTTTGAGACTAGCCTGGGCAACACAGTGAGATCCAGTCTCTATAAAAAATTTTTTTTAAAAGTTAGCCAGATCCCAGATACTTGGGAAGCTGAGGTGGGAGGATCCCTTGAGCACAGGAGTTTGAGGCTTCAGTGAGCTATGATGGCACCACTGTATCCCAGTCTGGGTGACAGAGCCTGAACTCTTAAAAAAAAAAAAAAAAGAAAGAAAGAAAAAGGGGGAGGAAACGACTATTTAAAACTTGCGATCATGGTTTTCTCTGGATACGAGGTGAGGAAAGAGGCTATGATAAGGAAGGTAAACATAAGGCCTTCTAGGGTGGTGGCAATGTTCTACTGACCTATGTCACATGACTGTTCACTTGATAATTAACTATTAAGTTTGTATACATATTGTGTGTTTTTCTGAATGTATATTTATTCTATGGTGAAAAAGTAGTGGAGGTTCTAAAGAAGAGAATCTGATATTTTTGATGTGTGATAGAGGAAGGCCTCTATATTAAAGAACTGAGTAGAGACCTGGAATGAAGAAGCAAACCATAGAGTTAAACATGCAGGTGGTGAGTAGAAGCATGCCACATAGAGGTTACCAGAGAGTAAAGTCTTGAGGCAGGAGTGTACCTGATGAATTCCAAAAACAGTGAGAAGGTCAGTGTGGTGGGTGAAAGGGTGGTATAAGATGAGATGCAGGGATTGGGGTGATAGAGGCAGGTCATTAGGTCCTTATATCAAGCATATGGGTTTTACTCACAATGATATGGAAAGCAAGTTAAAGTAAATGAACAGAAATACACCACCAACCCAGATTCAATTCAATTTTTCCACTAGTATATGAAATCAATTTCTAAAAGGATATACAGAAAGTTGCTAACAGCAATGCCTCCTGGGAGGTAATTGGGCAGTTCGGAGTTAAGAAATAAATAAAATATGAAAGTAAAAAAACCTCTATGATTAATAGTCTCAGAGATGTAAGAGACAGTATTACATCCATAAAGCAAAGGTGATATAAAAGTTCCATTTAGAAAATAGAAAACTGCTCTTTGGAATTAAAAATATGATAGTAGAAATGAAAAATTCAATGGACAAGCTAGGAGGGAGGTACCTAATTATTTCAGAGAGAGAGAAATAAGGAGAAAAGGTTAAAAAACAAAATAAAACAAAAAAAACCCTCCTCACACCAAAACACATCAGCATGAAGATGAAGATAGAGATAAAAAGAAGTTTGTACAAGAAGACACAAACAAACGGAAAAATATTCCATGCTCATGGATAGGAAGAATCAACACTGTTAAAATGTCCATTCTACCAAAGGCAATCTACAGATTCAACGCAATACCCATTAAGTTACCAACATCATTCTTTTCAGACCTGGAAATGACAATACAGAAATTCATATGGAAACACAAACGACCACGAACAGCCAAAACAATCCTTTAGCAAACGAAACAAAGCAGGAGGTATCACACTTCCAGACTTCAAACTTTACTATAAGGCTATAGTAATCAAAACAGTCTGGTATTGGTACAAGAACAGGGACACAGACCAATGGAACAGGATAGAGAATCCGGAAGCAAAGCATCAATTCCTCAACCAGCTCATCTTTGACAAAGCCTCCAACAACAACCATAGAGGAAAGGAGAACCTATTCAGTAAATGGTGCTGGGAAAACTGGCTGACCACATGCAGAGGATTGAAATAGGACCCCTATCTATCACCATACACAAAAATTAACTCTAAATGGAACAAAGACCCAAACATAAAACCTCAAACTATAAGAATCTTAGAAAACGCAGAAAACACCTTCATAGAAATTGGAACTGGTAACCAATTCCTCTTCAGAACCCTAAAGGCCAATACCTTAAGAAATAAGATAGACAAGTGAGACCTCATCAAAGTAACGAACTTCTGCAAAGCAAAAGAAACCATCAAGAGAGAAGGGAGACAGCCCACAGAATGGGGAAAAAATATTTGCCAACTGTATATCTGACAAAGGCCTAACATCTAGGATCTACAAGGAACTCAAACA